GATGGATGGATGGATGGATGGATGGATGGATGGATGGATGGATGGATGGATGGATGGATGGATGGATGGATGGATGGATGGATGGATGCTGTCATTATGTGATTAACCATTTTAAGTAAAGTTATTCCTGTTTTTATTACAATATTTAGAAATATCTTTGGGATATATAACCTTCCTCCATGACAGGTTGGTCCAGACTGATTACTGGTTTGAAAGGCAGACTGCTCCATTTCAACCTGTAATAGTGGGGCACAATGAGACCAAAAGTGGAAAAGTATAAAGTAGCAAATAGTTGGAGTGACTGCTTCTAGTCAAAGAAATGCAGCAACACATTTGGGAGGAAATTCAGTACAATCTAATCCATGGATGTTGGAGAATCAGCTCTTCTGGGTCCATTTTTCATATTGTTAAACTGAGTCTATTAAGATGAAAAAATCAGTAAAGCAACTTTAAAACAAAAAGAAACTATAAAAGTAAGTGGTTCATAATTGTATTATATGAAAATATTTTAGCCAAGACAATGTTAACTCCACTGAAAGGAGAATCTAGCCCCTGGTTGAAGCTAAAAGCTGCCAGAATGTACAGCTTTTAGATGAGATGCATCCATGTTTAAAAAAGATGACTAAATCAAAGCTCAAACTGATTTGACAGTTTGGGGGAAAACTACAAAGAAACCAGGTAGAGAGATGACTTGCAGGGACGCTGCAGACGGCCAGACAAACGGAACATCTCGTCTGGACCTGAACTGAATACTAACACTGCTGCATGCAGGACAGGCATGCTAATTACTCGCATCCAGCCTCTGCAACATCTGGGCTGTTTGTGCAACATGGAGCAGGACAGAAACTCTCTAAAGTCCTGGGTAGTTCATCGGTTTGTGAACATATGTGAGAGGATGAGATGCCGTGCATGCAGCTGCATCAACCTCAGACTGTCTTTGAGATGATGGGAGATGAAGATTGGTGCTGGCTGGGGAGGAAGATGATGAACGCCTCATTCACTGCTGGAATAGTAATCAACCAGCCTGACTGAGGGACGTTTCTGTCTCCCTATGAGAGTCAAAGTCAGTTTAAACCGGCTTCATAAGGTGGACAAAC